TATGTTTGGGATTGATTTTCATATCATTTCCGGTTGTTGGTGTGCCGTGAGATTTTTTCTGTGTGTGCCTTGACGCAAAAAAGGTTGAAAAACACTGCTCTAAACAATGGAGACTTACTGCATCTATCCTTAATGATAAAGAATTTACCTCCTTTATCACAGCAGAACTCAAGGAATACTTGGATATCAATACCTCGGCCGAAACAACATTCCTCATATTGTGGGACTGTGCTAAAGCATACCTCAGAGGCCGTATAATCTCATTTACCTCTGCCAGGAAAAAAAGGAAAAGAGGCTAAACAGAGAGAATTGGAAGATAAAATAAAAGACTTGGAAAATAGGCATAAACAATCAGCTTCATCCAGTCTTCTAACCAACTTAAATGCTACCCGTAGAGAACTCAACAGCCTGTTAACAGAAAAAATTGAGGGAAGTTTGAGATTCACAAACCAGAGATATTACGAACACGGTAACAGGGCAAGCAGATTATTAGCATTCAGATTAAGAAAACAGCAATCATCTAACACGATACATAGAATAAAATCAAGAGAAACTTTTGTTACAAAACCAGATAAAATAGCAGAATCCTTTGCAGAGTTTTACAAATCTTTATACAAAAATACAGATACTTGCTCTGATGATGCAAAACTCAAGAGTTCCTAAATCCCATAAAGCTAACTGAACTGACAGAATCAGCATCTAAGGAACTAGATGAGCCTATCGAGGAATGGAAGATCAAACAGGTGATCTCCACGCTCAAAAATAATAAAAGCCCAGGACCAGATGGATATATCAATGAATTTTATAAAAGCTTCAAGGATATTTTATCACCGCTTTTGCTAAAGGCATACCACTATGCATTAGAATCTAAAACTATGGCACCGTCTTGGACCGAGGCAACTATAGTGGTAATCCATAAAGAAGGCAAAGATCCCACCGAGTGCCAATCCTATAGACCGATCTCACTGCTCAACGGGGACCTGCGCATTCTAACAGCAATCCTAGCAAGGAGAGGTAATCGGATAATAACTGGAATTATCCACTCTGATCAGACAGGATTCATCACTGGAAGATACTATGGTGATAACTTACGACGCTTATTAAACACAATATCCCACCAAAACAAAGGGAAAACGGAAGTGATGATTTTGTCCCTTGATGCTCAAAAGGCATTTGACCGGGTATCATGGCAGTATTTATTCCAAACACTAAAACGGTTCAAATTTGGTCCCAACTTTCTAGATTGGATACAAACACTATATTCATCACCACAGGCGGCTGTTAAAGTTAATGGATATAGATCACAAAGCTTCCCATTAGAACACGGCTGCAGACAAGGTTGTCCTTTATCCCCCCTGCTGTTTGCAATTAGTTAAAATCCAAATCCTTTCATATAATGATTTTTCACATGTCATTTATATTAGCTCACACAAACACTTCAACCATTTGTCGGCTCCTCCGTCAAATTTTACAACCCATTGTGGCCTGCGAGTCAAAAAGTTTGCCGACCCCTGCTATAGACCTGTCCTAGGAGGACCATCTAATCTAATGGACAACCAAGTACTGCAAGCTGGACTATTATGCAGTTTTAGACAAGTTGTAGATTAAACTAGACTAAAACTAATTACATTGTACTAAGGATTAAAATGACTAAATGTGACTAATATGCATTTTTCGTCTAAAGACTAAGACTAAATCAAAATTAACACTGGCACAGAGGCACACTTCGTTTCAAACTCAAACACTTGGAGGGAATTTAAATGGAAAGTAATTACCAGATTCTTCAGAACTCCAGAAATATTAGCCAAAATGGGCCCAACACACTCCAACTTGTGCTGGCGTAAGTGTGGAATGCATGCTGCCAATCATGCACATATTCTGGCTATGCCCCAAGTTAATTGCTTACTGGAGGGAGGTCTTTGATGCCCTCAAAGAGATATTCCAACAGGACATCCAACAAGACCCCGACGTAGCACTGTTGGAAGCAATACCTGAAGGGCTGGATGGGAGAGCCAAAAAATACCTTCTAAACATACTGCTCACAGCAGCACTAAAGGGTATAACTCTCAGATGGTTACAGCTGGACCCCCCTACATACGATATATGGATCAAATAACATTCATTACGGCTCCAAAAGCCTATCTTTGCAAAACGATGGGGCCCTGTCACAGCATTACTGATACAATGAGGGTTATGTTATGTCCCAGCTGAATTGTGACCTGCTAACTTTCTCGATGCACTTGTCATACACTAGCCTCTCGTGCGCATATGGGGCACCCACAATACTACATTCAGGAGTGGACAGCTATTGTTTATTCATCCCTGATTTTATTTCTTTGTTTTTGCTTTCCTCTTTCTGTTGGAGTGACCACTATTTGATGTTCTCTCTGTGCTTTGTACATAACACCTAAATATCATGTGTACCAAGACTACATACAACTGTAAAATGGTCATAGAAAGTGACTGTCTGAAAATGCACTTTGTCATGTTGTTGAAAACAAAATAAAAAGTGAGTTAAAAAAAACAAAAACAAAAAACCCCTACACATATGCGTGAGATGTATTGAACACTGATATACAAGTGAAATAAAAGGTTTGGCGAAATGAAAATGGCCCAGTTGGGCATAAAATTATTTTTAAAAAAACAATTCCGGCGACTCTCCCTGGAGTGTCCGTACTAAAAAAATCTCTAAAAATGTGTCCTTCACTTTATCAAAATCATCCTTTGCAGAGAAAGTTAGCATATTGTGCTATGATCTAGTAGGGTATGGTTGGAGCCATGCTCTATTATGAGTGCTATTTATTTTAAGCAAACCTGAAACCTTAATTGTGTGCCATCTTCACTTTGTCTTAGCCTGCATTTTATTTTTTACATTTACTTATCTGGATAAAACCTCACAAATTATTCAAATAGACCGTATGAATCTGTATGCAATTTTTGAGCAGGGAAATAAAAACTGGGGTAATGATCTAAAGAGTAGCAAGTAGCGTCATTTGGGATTGCAACAGCGAAATTTCATTCCAGACCACAGATTAAGCTGTGGCAGTTTCATGTGTGAGGGCACAACACTGGGAAGAGGTTCTTTAAAAACCGATTGGGGAAGATGTCTTTTCAAACAAGAACGAGTACAATAAACTTATCGAGCAATTCATTATCCAAATGTCCACAAATCGTTGCAAAAACATATCTTTATATTCAATGCTTTTCTAACAACATTAATTCAGAGCCCTAAAGGCTGAGTAAAAGACTGCAGCTATCATAAAAAATGCTTTTAAGGGCATAGTTTTAATGATTTTCCGCAAAATATAATTAGAAAGTTATTAAATAAACCACATCCTCCTCAAGCGCTGAGCGCCCCTCAGGAGAGCCTAATGATGAATAGTGTTTGATGCTTGGGCGGGTTGCTCTCCAAAGGGTCAAAGAATAACAAAATGTTAATTGAATGCGAGCTAGGAAGAGAGTGTTTGGTTTCCTTTCATTAGCCTTTAGACTCTGTCAAATGGAACATTAATCTTAAGTATTTGTACGAAAAAAACAGTAGGCATGTAACACCACCAAGCGGCGAACATCTGTTCGGGTAGCCACAGGAAGCTAACAAGCTAACTCGCCAGAGAGTTGCGAGCAAGTTGGCCAGCTAGCGTCAAAGAACTGTCCGGGTAGCCGCTGCCCTTTTCGGGCTCAATGAATTCATGTGTTTACTTGAAAAAGCAATAGTGATATACCGGGATACCGTCAGAATCTTAATACCGTGATATGGTTTTTTGGCCATACTGTGCAGCCCTAGTACAGTCCTATTTGTGCATTATTTTTCTCCAAGCAGCTGCTTGGGGAGCAGGCTGGCGCATGCTTCTGTGTCATTGCGTTGACGCATTCGTTTCAATTCATGGTTCTAAAAGTCTTGCGTGTGTTGCAGAGCGATTCACCTCCAGAACAACAGGTGGAGTAACATGTTTTGTTGAAGACGACCTAGAGAGTCACGTCTTTCTGTGTGGAAGTTGTTGGTTTGTTTATCATAGACTTTATTGCCCCGTGCATCCACACTGCTGCTTTTCATCGCGGACACATTTGTCCCGTATTTTCCTACACAACTTTGTTCCCCTCGACCGGCAAACCGACGTTTGTGAAGATCTCCCTCCATGAATCAGAGGCCATCCGCGCGTCCTTATAGTCCGCCAATGACGGCTTGTAGAAGTGGTCATATTTACGCATTTCTTCAGACAAAAGCTCTTCAATCTGATCTGTTCTCTCGTAAACATTCTTCGTTATAATGACGGTATTGTGCGATGAAAACGGAAATGTGGGACTCCGTAAAGGACGTAGTTAGCAGACCAATCGCAGCCTTGCGTCGCTTTCGATGCAAGGCTAGAAAAATGGGTCGACACACGCAAGGTGGTGTGAAAAGGCACGCAAGGGACACGCAAGGGGGTCTTGCATCTGCGTTTCTCTGAAAACGTAGAAGCATAAACTAGGCTTTAGTGTTAACAGAGATCAGTGTTTTCCATACCATTATAACAGGGGGGCGTCTCCCCAACTGGAAATTATAATGTTTCACTTCATAAATTGTACTGATGAGTTAATTTTCTACTCACTAAACTATTAAAAGTACAGAAATGTTGAGCAGACACTAGGCCAACTCATTGGCATAATTTAGGATTCATATTTGGACAAATAATCACAGATTTGTCTTTGCTGCATGTTCAAATGTATGTTGTTAACAGGAGATTGTGAAATAATACGTTTGGAGAAGTACGGTCACTTCATGTAAAAATATCTCATCTCTTGCTCTGCTGCATGTAGATTAATTTTAATATATAATAAAGGGGTTGTAGAGAACAACCTAAAACAACTAAATTGGGTTCTAGGTGTAAAATGAAGTTTGCTGATGTAAAACAAGGCTTTGGTTCATCATATATTGTGTTGAAAGTTGCTCGAGCACTGTTTTAGGCATAACTGACTGAATGGACACATGGCAGCTGGTCCCAATACCGGTTCGTCCTTACTTGTTCCTCAGAACCTGCCAGGCCGCCTCGATGTCCGCATACAGGTTCTTCTCGGAGGGCTTGCCGGTGCTGGCTCCGTAGCCCGAGTAGTCGTAGGAAAACACGTTGCAGTTGATCCTGGAGCCAAGGCCGATGTAAAAGCTGCACATCTGCCCCAGGTCCACGGCGTTACCGTGGGAGAACAGCAGGGTGTAGCGACTGCTCGGGGCGCAACGCACAAACATACAGCCGACCTGGTTACCCCGGCTGCTCCTGGTGCTGAACACTTCCACCGCATCGAGCTCTCGCTGAGAGTACTGCCAGTCCGCCCGTTCACTTAAATGTAAGCTATTTACCCCGTTAGCATCGGTGTGAATGGAGTACGTGGGCTCCGGTGGGAGGAAAGCTAGCTTGGCCGCGATGCGACTGGGGCAGGGCGGACAGCAGAAGAGCCAGCACAGTTCACCGAGAGAAAAGCCATTCATCCTGGGGCCTGGTTCGGGCATGTGACGGGCACGGGGCGACCCGAAGGATTCAAAAAGGACAGTTTTCTTCAGGTATCAGCTGCTATTGTTCCCCATCCACAGACCCTACCAGACAGTGTTCAATGAGCGATGCTGGTGGGCTAACGCGCTAGCTGGCTGCCCGGTAGTTAACTTAAGGTTAGCTAGTTAGCTAACAACTAATCTAAGACGTAATAAAGATTAAAGAGTAACTCAAACGCAACTCTACAGTCCATAACTTCGCATTTGGCAGCAGCAACCAGTGACAAGCCGTGAAAGAACACTTCCGCTCTCCAAACACATCACTTCACAACGTCCAGATTTGCTAATTTAATGTAGAAATGAGAGCGAATGGAGACGAGCTGGTCTTCCGGTATCACCGGATATCCTGTTTGGCCTTTACTACGTTGTTACGGTGTTATTTATTTTGCCTCTACTTTGAGCTAATTATAGAATATATTAATATTTGACGGATAAGCGGTTTGAAGATGGGTGTAGTATATGGAGTACATTCGAGCCTAACAACTAAAACGTATCCAAATGTAAATTTAAAGCTGATATTTCAGTGTTACTCTTGAGAAAGTGAAATATTCCATATGTAGAGTTATATGAGCTTTTGAATTTGTTTTCAATAGCAGACCATTTTGGTATTACCTGACTAATTGTTTTGTGTGCATGTAGTTTATGTTAGGTATAACATCCTCAGCTTCCTCAACCTGACTCTATCAGCATCATTTTCATCCTCAACTTCCTTTGCCTCAACTCCCTCCGCATTTGCATCCTCAGCTTCACTGTCACTACTGGTATAATTTCTCCTTTTTCTGGCAACCATTTACCATCAATGCCACTAACATCATCGTCACTGGACTCGGGTGGTATTTCCTCCACTATCCTGGAGGCCCTTCTATCACACTCTGCTTTTCAGCTCTACAAAATATACAGATATTCAAAACCTCCAAATTACATTCTAATAACGTACATAACATGATTTACAGCCTAAAACATTAACGCAGATGAAACATATTCAAGGAAAACCGTAGCAGCAATAGTATGAATGGTAGTTGAAATATAGGCAGTGATGTCCAATATGATGTGTGATTCGTTGACATATATATATATGATGTGTGTTTCTGACTGTCTGTCAGCCATCTTGGTTTTGAGAAATTTATCTTGCACTTACAACTGCTTGCCACTGTTAAAAAGTTACCACGTCTTCCTGACAGCATAACAACATGTATGCTAACCGGCTTAGGCTTTGACATTTTTGTGGAAGCAATAGATATGCTCTCAAGTACCAAAGGGGAACTTTTAGAAACAAATTATTTAAAATTATTAAACAAACCCCCCTCAAGCAGCCGTCCCGGACTCTGTCTCCCCTCACACCTCAGAGCATTGTGCTGATCAGCTGTCTCCGGTGTTCATGCCACGTACCAGCCTGCTTCAAGACCTCCACCATCTTCCCTGTTCCCAAAAAGCTCAGGATCACAGGACTTAATGACTACAGGCCCGTCGCCCTGACCTTAGTAGTCATGAAGTCTTTTGAACGGCTAGTCCTGTCGCACCTGTCTCACAGACCCCCTCCTGGACCCCCTGCAGTTCCCCTACAGAGCCAACAGGTTTGTAGACGATGCTGTCAACGTGGCCCTCCACTTCATCCTTCAGCATTTGGACTCCCCAGCAACCTACGCCAGGATCCTGTTTATGGACTTCAGCTCTGCGATCATGCCGTCTCTGCTGCAGGACAAACTCTCTCAGCTGCATGTGCCCGACTCATTCATTTTTTAAAATAAAAAACGAATGTTATTCTTCTAGCGTATAGCCTTTTATACTGTAGATTTAAATTATAAATGCCATTTTCTAACACAGTGTGACTTGTATTGTTGCCCATTGTCTAACTGTCCATTTAGCTGACACTTTTATTCAAAGTGACTTACATTGCATTTTTAACCCACGGCTTTTTACATTTTTGCCCAGGGAGCAATTAGGCGTTAGGCATCTTGCTCAGGGACACTTCGGCTTGGGACATGGGGCAGCCAGGACTCAAACCTCCAACCTCACGGTTTCCTACCCCTGCGCCACGACAACACCATGTCAAATTCCTTGTATGTCTAACATAACATACTAACCCATTGCATTAGCATTTCATTCCACTTTATTTTATTACTTGTGCACTGTTGTCTTGTCTGTCTACTGTCGCGCACTAATCGCCAAGACAAATTCCTTGTATGTTTGACATATTTTGGCTAATAAATGTTTCCTGATTCCTGATTCCTGATACTTCGGCAATAAATGTTCCTGATTTCTGATACTAAGAGCAGGACATTATTCTATAATATACAATTGGACCACAATTCCACAAATTGACCACTTTTCTCCTAGTAGCAATCCATAACGCAGAGCACAATATATGATTTAGCTTGTTTCCGTGTGTGTGTGTGTGTGCATCTCCTTCACCTTCATCTCCTGAGACGGACCATTAGCTGCTTCACGGTCCTGCTCCGATTGATGGGAATGCAAACAGAGAGCATTGACGGAAATTTGTGGGCTGACTTGAATAAGTGAGTAAGTAATCCACATGCAGAAAGACAAAGTGATACAAGACATACGTTGACATGTTGAGCCAGAACTTAATATGACAAGAAGATGAACATCCGCACCAGAGTGGCCTGCTGAGTAAATAGGAGCCCTTTTTGTACTTTAAAAGCTAATTGAGTTCTAATTACACTGAATGCTCCATCAGACTGAATGACGACTGGGTCACAAATACATGTGTCACGGTGTGGTTTCACTTCCTGTTGTATTTTGTAGTTTTCTGCCACTCGTGTCCCCGGGTAACTTCACTTCCTGCCTTGTCCCGTCATCCCCTGTGATCGTCTAATAGTTTCCACCTGTGTCCAATCACCTGCACCTCCCTTGTGTATTTAAGCCATGTGTCTCCTGTGTCACTTGTCGCGTCATTGTCTTTTGTCACACATGTTGCCTGCTGCTTTTCCTCCCGGTTCCTGTGTTTTTGACCATTGACTATTAAAGTCCCTTTTCTTTTTGAACTCTGCGTCTTGAGTCCTGCCTCCACCCTCACATCCCTGACAGAATGACGCGACCAAGAAAGGACTCAGCAGAGTTTTTTCCCTTGGACGAGTTCAGGGGAACCCGTCTGGCAATGGGCGGTCCACGGAGTCTCCAGCGGGCTGCCCGTAGTGGGGGAACGGTCCTCCCGGGGGTTCCAGCTGGGTACTTGTACTACTCCGTCTCCCCATCTGGAGCCCTCAGTAGGCATCTGGGTCACCATCCGCCGCCCCCCACATGGTCCCCAGAGGAGGAGACCATTTCGTGGTCGTCTGGCGGCGATTCGCACTGGGAGCGGGTAATGGACCTTGCGGTCCGACTACAGGCCACCTATGCTCCCCACGCTCGGCCGCAGCGCACAATGTCCAGCGCTGGGCCGCAGCGACTTCCCGACCCCGCTCGGTCGCAGCGCACAATGTCCAGCGCTGGGCCGCAGCGACGTTCCGACCCCGCTCGGTCGCAGCGCAAGATGTCCCGCGCTGGGCCGCAGCAGATTCCCGTCCCGGCCTCCCGACCCAAGCCCATGACCCCCGAGCCAGTGCCACGATCCATGCCCCCGACCCCCGAGCCAGTGCCACGATCCATGCCCCCGACCCCCGAGCCAGTGCCACGATCCATGCCCCCGACCCCCGAGCCAGCGCCACGATTCATGCCCACGTAACCAGCACCACGTTCCATGCCCCTGACCCCACCAGTTCCGGCGCCACGTTCCATGCCCTCGACCCGACCAGTTCCGGCCCCACGTTCCATGACCCGTACTCGGCCAGTCCCCGCTCCGAGACTCTCCGCCCCGACCCCGACGCGGCCAGTCACCGCTCCGAGACTCTCAGCCTCGACCCCGACGCTGGCCAGTCTCCGCTCCGAGACTCTCAGCCCCGACCCCGACGCGGCCAGTCACCGCTCCGAGACTCTCAGCCCCCACCCCGACGCGGCCATCCCCGCTCCCGAGACTCTCAGCCCCGACCCCTACGCCTCCGTCCCCTGCTCCTAGACTCATGGCCCTAACGCCCACGTCTCCCGCTCCCGGGACTACAGACCCCATGA